ACTGAGCTTGGTGGTTCTTCACTCTGAAAAGGGGTGCAAAAAATCCACACAAACGTGTTAAAAATCACAAGGAGATGGAGAAGCGTTAAGTGGGCAGGTGGGTGAAGTGAGGGTGCTGGGTTTTGGCAGGGAGGGGGCTACTGGAGGGGTCCCCCCCCGCCGCCGTCACTCGTCCCCCGAGGACCAGGGCTCCTGCTCGGCTCTCAGCCGGCAGGCCGGCAGCTGGTCGGGTGCGAGGCACAAGACGTCATCCCCCAAAGGGGACGGCACGGGGACGGTGTCGGCTCCGCCGTGCTTGCCACATGGGGTGGCATCGGCCAGCTTGGCCGCGGTGGCATCTCCGGGAGCAGGGGGCTGCGGTGGCATCACCGCAGTGGGGTCTGCGGTCTCCGTGGGGAACTCCTGTGCCAGCGGCACACCGGCGATGCCGTTCAGCACCTCGGTGAATTCGGCCAGGTCCTCCAGGCTGGCCTCCCGGTGCAGCCCGTTCTCGGCCCGAATCAGACCCTCCGTCCCCGGTGCCGCATCCGCTGGCGCCTCCTGCACCGTCGGCTCCTCCTCGCTGGACGAGGCAGGCGAGGAGTCTTCCCCGGTGTCCCGGGGTAGCTCGGTCCCACCAGGATCCCGCTGCCCGCCCTCGGCCGCCCTTGCCCCCATCACCAGCTCCTGGTTGAACTCCAGGGCTTGCTCGACTATTTCCAAAATATCTGAGTCTTTCATGACATCCGCCAGCACTTTTGCAGAGAGATCGGCCGCCTCTGGGTTTTCTTTAATCATCTCCGGAAAACCTCCCTGCTCCGGCGCGGAGCCCGGCCGAGGTGGGTCGGCCTTGGGGAGCTCCTCGTCCCCAGCCGGGGGAGGGCTGTCACCATCCGGTGCTTCCTCCTCCACAGATGGCTGCTCATCTGATGTCTGCTCTGCTTGGTCAGGCAGCGGAGAAACCGGCATCACCTGGGCCTGGAGCCCTGCCGGAGCGATAGGCTCGACCGTGTCGTGGTGAGCCGTGCCGGGCTCCTCCTCCTCCTCCTCCTCCTCATTCTCCTGCCCCACCAGCCCCAGGTTGCAGCCTGGGAGCATTCCGGCTCTGCCAGCGTCGCTCTCCGGCTCCACCGTGCCGTCGAGCTCCTCAACCGATTCGGCGGCCAAGCCCTCCAAGCGCTCTGGTCCCTCATGCACACCGGAGCCTACGGCACCCTGGGCTGGCTCGTCGGTGTCTCCTGCTAACGGCCCCGTGGCCCTGGGGGAGCCGGGATCTGCCTCAGGCGCGGCTGGACCTTCCTCGAGCTCAGCAGTAAAACCCCCAGCATCATCCTCATTCTCATCCTCATCCTCATCCTCATCCTTTGGCATCTCAGGTTCTTCTGTGGGCATCTTCCTGCCTTCATCTGCTTCACCAACAAACGCCTCAAAGTGCCCTTCGTCCTCTGGCACCGGAGATGCTTCTCCAGGAGCTTCCAGATCATCTCTGCTGGCTTCGGTTGCTTCAATTTTAATTTCTTCAAAGTCCTCGGAGATCTCGGCTTCCTCTGAGCTGGACACCTCTTGGTTGGGAGCAGAGACCATGAAATAGCCTTCCTCCTCCTCGGCACCCTCTGCCGCGGGGGCTACCTCTGTTCCTGCCTCCTCTTCGCGGCTCTCTGGCATGGCGGGAGTTGGTGGCTTGTCCCTCCCTTCCAGCCATCCTTCATCCTCCGGAGCTATTTCAGATGTGGGGGCTGTCTCTGTGGTCTCCTCAGTCTCCGGAGGGTTTTGGCTGGGTGCGACCACAGCCAGCATCTCCCCTTCATAGAGGTGCAAGGGCGTGCTGTCCGGCAGCGTGTCCTCCAGCTCCACCCTCCTGCCCGTCCCCGGTGCCTGCTCCAGCTCTCCCAGTCGCCCAGCCTCCTCCTCGGCCGACTCGCTGCTCTCCGCACCGTCACCTGGCACCTGCTGAAGCGGCGCAGGGCCGGAGCTGCTGCTCTCCGGCTGTCCCGGGTCCGAGCCGAGCTCGTCATCAGCATCCTCATCCTGCACCTCCCATGTCTCCTCCGGAGCCCCAGCCAGCTCCTGGCTGTCCCCTCGCCCAGGGCCATCTGCTGGTGCCCAAGCAGGCTGCCCCGCGGTGCCCTCCTGCTCATCCCTCGCCAGCCCCGGGGCCGGCTCAGCCTCCAGCGGTGGCTGCTGCTGGCTCATCCCTCGGCTCTCGCCGTCTTCTTCATCATCTTCCCGGGTTTCCTCCAGCTCTGCTGGCGACATGCCGTCACTCCCCTCGCTTTCCAGCCCTCCTGCGCTCGTCGGGGTGTCATCTGCCCAGGCTGGCTCTTCTGTCCCCAGAGCCCCCTCTGTGTCCTCTGCTGTCACCTCCCAGTCCTCTGCACGGGGCTTTCGGCTG